AGGGCCCACACCGGCGGCAGCGCGGTGGCGGAGCTGGCTGGGCTCCGGGAGGATTTGCTTAATTGGTTTCCCATCAGTAGCACAGTTGGAAAATCAGAAATGAAGCAGGAAGCACCCATCTCCCCTTTTCTTCCCAGGCTCGACATCATCACCCCACACTGCCGGGGCTGGGAAGTGGAGGCTGCGGTCGGTCCATGGCGCCTCTTGGGCGCTGCTGCTGCCCCCTCCTCGCACCCTTGCCGTGCCCGAGCGTGGGGTCCCTCCCACGGGAGACAGTCCTGCACAAAGTGCCACAGCGTAGGCCCTTCCGCGGGGTGCCGTCCTTGCGGCCAGGCTGCTCCGGTGTGGATGTTCTGCGTGGTCACAAGTCCTGCCAGCACACTTGCTCCAGGGTGGGCTCCTCTCTCCGTGGGCTGCAGCTTCCTCTGGGGCACGTCCTCTACTCCAGTGTGGGGCCCTCTGTGGGCCGCAGGTGGGTCTCTGCTCCGTGGGCCGGAGGGGCTTCACCCACCTCACCGTGGGCTGCACCACGGGCTGCCGGGGAATCTCCGCTCTTGGCCTGGAACACCTCCTGTCCCTCTTCTTCACTGACCTTGCTGCCTGCAGGGCTGTTCCTCCTTAAAGGCTCTCATTCCTCTCTCCAGCTGCTGATGCTGTTGTGCAGCCAGTACTTTCTGCTTCTTAAATACATTATCGCGGAGGTGCCACCCGTGTTGTCATGGGTTCAGCCATGGCCAGCAGCGGGTCTGTCCTGGAGCTGGCTGACTCTGCCCAGCATGAGGATAGGTGCTGGTGTCTCCTCTCAGAAGCCAACCTTGCCCTGGAGGCCCAATCCAGACGTCAAAAGAAGGCATCTGGATTGTGCCAAGGATGCCACACGCATGTGGAGCCATGGTGATGTTGCGCTACTGGGCACAATGCCCAGCACTGGACTGTGCACGTGGAGCAACCTGCCCAGCACTGCACTGTGCACTGCACAGTCCTTTGTCCCAAAGGCAGGTTTGCTAACTGGTGCCCAGTGCAAATTCACTCACTGAGACAGGTGTTGCCATTTTTCATTCTGGTTTGCACAAAGCAGGGAGTTTGGTCCGCTCACTTATCATCAATGCTTTACACTAGGTATATGTTTTGACAAACTTACTGCACTATTTATATATTTTAACAAGGTAAGGCAGAGGCATTCATTGGTTACATAACTTTTCTATAATTAATGCTTGACTCCTGTCTACTTGCTAGTTATATCTCTCACTTCTCATGCTAATTAGTCCACAGGTGCAGTTCCTTTCTCCATCTGAGTCTGGGGTCTGTTTTGAGTAGGTGGTCAATGAGTGGGCTGTGATTGCCCACTGCCAGAATTTACTGCTGCCAGTTACTGCTCAGTTCTGCTGACTTCACTCCTGGTGGCTGTTGTCCAGACAGCCCGTTCATCTTGGGATTGTCTTCTCTTTTCCTTAAAACAAAAGATCAGACAAGGATATGATGCTCACAATACAACTGCTTAATCACAACCGTTCAGCAACAGCTACTGATTAACAAAGAAAAAAACCAAATCATTACAAAGTTTGACTCAAACCCTTGCTCACAGATTGAGGGGCTTGGTATTTGTCCTAGTCCCTGAAGGAGAGTGCAGCACTCCTGGTCTGGGTCTGCAGAGGTGCCTGGGACTGACTGGCTGGAGAGCAGCTTTGCTGCAGCTTTCCCACTCCTGGGGTGCAGGAAAGGTCTTGGACATTCCAGAATGTCACAAGAAGTTGCCCATGAGTCTGCAACATGGTCTTGCAGCAAAAGTGGGAGACAGCACCCTGGACTGCATTAGACAGGTTTGGGCAGATGATCCTTCCCC